GATGCTTAATTTATTTGGTTCGCAGAGAATATTTATAGAGAATAACTTTTGGATTATCATGTTCTACTCTGGTTAATTAAGGTAATTAAGCCTTCAAATAACCAATTTAAATGGATGATTAACTTTAATAATAAAAATGTTCTATCTTTCTAAGAAAGTTGTAGTAGGTTGATCAACTTTTGCGTGGCATGCGAGGGCAGGTGCATGGTGGGGTAGGCTGGAAAAAAGATTGTTCTGCAGTCCCATGAATGTTAATCATGATACATAATACAACATTAGGTTATCTTTCTTAATTATTTATACTTTAATCTAAAAAGATGTCTCAAAGCACTACAAATAATATCCACTTTAAATTACTCCAAAAATCTTATAGCCATTGCTTTGTATGATTTGTAGGCTCCTATAGCCGACTTTAACGTCCACCAAAACATTTTTAGTTGTTGGTAAATGTCCACGAAAATATTTGTTAAGATCTTTTTCTTTTCGAGAGCAGCATATACGTTTCAGATTTATTGTTATTGTAATGCCTCTTAATAATGATATGATGTCATATTAAATAAAACTTACACATAATATTATATTTTTAACATGCGACATTACAAAAAACGTGTAACTGTCATGCAAGTTTTTCTCCCATTTGCTAAAAAAATCATAGAATTAATTTAGGTGCCAACGGCTACCTGGCAACATGCTTAAGCTTGGAGGATTGCTCAGATTTTTATACTTAATTGTTTGCAACTCAATAGATTTTCTGTTAATCTCAATTTAAAATGATTACCAAAAATACAAGGATCCTATAGTATTGCTTAACCTTAGGGGCGTTTTTTATTTTTATATTATTATGAGAGGGGGAGAGTTCGAAATAATTACATTAATTTAAAGGAGTAGGGAGTTTTGAACTTAGGACGCATGGATATAAACTCAACACATTATCTATTAGAATATTGGATCACATGCAACCTGAGAGCGTAAAAATAGGCATCATCTGAAGAGTGGTTAACATTGCAGGGCTTTGAATATGAACCCAATAAACTGCCATTGCAAGTTTGCAACCTAAAATGGATGCTTAATAGGTGAGTGTAAAATTTATGTCAAGGGTGTTAATTATTTTCTAGGTGAAGTATGATGTCAGTTTGAACAGGTCATTAGCAACATGATATATGAGATTATATTTTTCTATTATTTGAGGCAACAAGAAAATGTGTTTCAAATTTGAACTTGATATCATTTAGACGAAATAAATCAAATAAAAATCTTCTGTTTGAAAGAAAAATGGGAAAAAGATGAGGGAAAAAAAAAGAAAAAGAAATAAGAACACCAAACTATGTAATTTCTTCTTCGATGCAAATACTTAGGGAAGGGGAAGGTGAAGATAGGATTTCGAGTGCAATAATAAACAGTCATAGAGCTCATCTAAGATTGCTTTTGAAGAAAAGAAGGTATGGTCATAAACGTTTTTGTTAGAAGTGTTTTCATTAACATTACATTGCAATCTTTATTAAAAATCAAAGTGTTTCTTAAAAAAGCATTGAAGCACTTTCTCTATAAAATGTTTCTATCACCCTAAATCACTTAGTTTTTTTCAAAAGTATAGTCAGAGATGTGTTTTTGGTTGTCAAAAAGTGATTTTGCCACTACGAAAGAGGTCCCAAACAAATCCTAGAACCACTTGAGCTACAACTTTTGCACCCTGGCTATATATACATATGTAGCACTTTGAATGAATTTGTTGTGAGCACATGATGATAAAAGAGTCCTACACTAATGAAAGGAAAAACATTTCAAAAGCTTATAAGTTGTTGAGTTACTCATCATATTGCCAATTTGACTCATTCTTCAATAGGCACATGGTGAGAGCCCTGGGCTCCTCCACTGCTTGGGAACTTATCGTTTCATGTTCTGTTTCTATCCCGATGTGGTTTTGTTGTACAATCTCAACTTTTATTAACATTGAATTTAAATAATTGAACTATGAAATACAAATAAAAATCTTATGTTGCAAACCTCAACTTATATTTATTCCTCTCTAACATTATTTATTTTCTAATCTTAAATATTCATACACCCATCATTTTTGTATATGCATTGGTTGTTTACTCACTCATTTATGAATGATTAATTCTAGTTGTCTCCAAAACCATTCAAACCTTCCAACAACTCGAACAATAATCACATAAAATAAAATACCATGGCTTACCTACCTACCTATTTCAAATATAAATGTCACCCTGGCCTCTTTCCCATTGATGTCATGTCCCAATTATTTTACAACAATAACATAAAGAATAAATACGTGTTAGAATACAAAAATGATAGTTCAACATTCAAAGTTACAACATCGGCCAATCCATGCACTTATATGATGTGTTCTTGCAATTATTCTAATTGCATTCGAACTACTAATTTGAAGCGACGTCACTGGTTTTTAAAGAACTAGCTGATGGGTTCGTTAACTATCATTTTCTGGATTAGGAGACATGTTAGCCTTCTCAATGTCACCATCGTGTCATTTACCATTCACCAATGCCCAAAATTGAATATAAAATATACTGTGTGAAATATGAGCTTGGAATTTGCTCCACCCACTAAACCACCCGGTGGTGATTTGAAGGATTGATTTATAATACAGGAATTCCCATGGACAAAAGAATGTCCAAATAGCTAGCTTTCAGGTAATTATTAGTATTGTTCTAAATTTCACGTTACCGGCAGCCAATCCATCTTTCATTATTTCATACCAACTATTAATGAATTAATTAAATGTATTACAAATTTTGTACGCGGATGCTCTTGTTAGTTTTGGTTTGTCTTCTTTTGATGATTTGTTTTGGAGGCAGACTCTTCTTGTTAAGGCGCGTTCAACTTGGTTTTGGGACTTTAGTAACTTTGTTTATCGATGGGATTTTCTTTGTAATTTACTAATTTTTCTTTTCCTATACGGGTTTAAAAAAAAAAACTTTTAAATATAATTTAATTAGAGGATAATTCCCTAATCACATCATCATCCATTAACATAATGACGTGGTATGGCGATATTACTGAAGTTTTATCTAGTCATGTCAATACGTTACAAGAATCGACAACTCTATTACACTTAATAAGAAGGATCGAGTTGAAAGTGACAAATTTAATCAATCCAAACACAAAGAGTTTGAAAATTCTGGTGTAATGTCAATGTTGAAGGGCAACACATCTCTCTAAATTGGGTCATTCTCAAGCATGATGTTGGTCTTCTTATCCAAGTCCATTTTATATATAGAAGATTTGCAATCTCCAATTTTGTCCTCAACTATATGGATAGTTATAGTACATGGATATGGACCTATTTATTTATTTGGTCAAAGTTTAGCTTCAAATTCAAACTTTGTAATGCAGCCAAATTGAAGTTCAAAGCTTGACATTTTCTTATGTTGAAGAAGATGATGGTCTCACTTTCTTTTTTTTATTTGTTATAAGCAATATTATTATAGGTTACATGGAGACGACAAGAGTTTATGTTCTGAGATACAATGAGTTAGAGAGAAATGTCAGAACCACTAAGGCAATCCTCTACTTATTATTTATTCATAAATTGTTTATTTTTTTGTGACAATACCTTGTTAAATTGGGAATGGAAGACGCATTTTCAACACCGGACCCACTTATCTATTCATTCTTGTGTGTTAGTAAATCATTCTTTGCTTGTAAACATAAATTTTGTTAAGGTAACTTACATTTTGCCTCCTCAAATTTCGTCCAATTTCAATTTCTTACATTTTCTGATTTCATACAATTCCAATTAAATACAATAGCTCCCGTACAAATGTCATACAACTGTTACAAATTTTGTTCAATTGATTGTTAAATGATGACGTGGTAGTCAAATTTGTCCTCGTAGACCGTAAACAATATTTTTATGCCAAAAAGCATGAAATGCAATTATGCAAAAGGGGTTTTTTAACTTTAATCATTCAAAAAGATTAAAATTTAAAATAAATCTGGTGTTAGATTACATATTGATTATAATCCATTGATGTGTTCTTAATTCAAAATAATTATATGCATTTTATTTAATGTCTCCCATTAAATATTTAAATTTATTAATATAAAAATTTAAATTTATTTTTTGACCAAAAAAGAGTTTTTTAAATTTATTAATTTTATTCAACATTCTTCAAACTTGAAAGAGTCAATTAATGTACCGAAATGTATTATATTGAACTAATGTATTTAAATGTTAGTATCGAAATGTATGTACCGAAATATATGAACCGAAATGTATTATATTAAATTAATGTACCTAAATGTGTGTACCGAAATTTTAGTACTGAAAAGTATTATATTGAATTAATGTACTTAAATCTTTGTATCGAAATGTATATACCGAAATGTGTGTACCTAAATGTATGCACCGAAATGTATTATAATGAAATTAATGTACCTAAATGAAGAAGACAAAGTACATCAAAATCTATTGTATAACAAAAATTAGTTTATCTAAAGGTTTACAACAAAATATATTACAATAAATGAAATGAAAATGAAAATTATAATGAAATAAAATTAATACATTAAAAATTAGAAAGAAAAAAAATAATTAAAAAATCAAAATATAATTAATAAATGAGGTTATTAATGTATTAAGGAACTAAAATTAGATTTTGATTTGACTCATGATTTTAATCTAAAAGTCATATTTGTCGAAGATTAAAATGAAGTTTTCTATATGCAAAAACCATGCTATAAATTTAATACCAGCCCTGTACATCAGCTACTTAAACAAATACCAACTACACTCGAGGTCGTGAGATCGATTTTCCCATCCCCATTATCGCTTGTATCTTGATTTTCCCATCCTCATTATCGCTTGTATTAGAAAAAAAAAAAACAATATCATCCCTGTACCTTATCAGCTTAAAGAAAAAATACACTCAAAGTTGTACTAAATGGCTTTCTGGCTCTTCATCTTTCTACTATTTGCAGTTGGAGATTCCAAGCCTACAAATCCGATCAACCAAACCAATCTGCAGGCAGCCATGGCGGACATGAGAACGCGGTCTTACCATGGATTTTTTATCCTCCTTAAGTTCGTAAATAACAGCATCCCGGATTCGCTGCAGAATTCCGGCATAACTTTCCTCATGCCAAATGATCACGAAATATCGGAAGCTGCAGTCACACCTGACCAAATCCATGAATTCATCCTCAGCCATTCAATACCGACGGTACTAGATCTTTTGCGTTTTCCGAATGGAACTCTGGCTCCGTCAAACATCCCCAGCAAGATCATCACCGTCACCAAGTCCAAAAGATCAAGCCTGTTCTTAAACAATGCTAAAATTGTCACTCCAAATGTCTGTGTAAGCTCTACAATTAGGTGTCATGGTATTAGCACCACTATGACGTTCAACGACCTTCATGCTCATGCCGGTCACCTTACCCATCAATCTTCGTGCTCCCGGTTTCATGGTTTACCGAAATAAAGATAACAAGGCCTTCTCCAGTCACCTTCTCCGGTCACTGACCTAAAGACGGTGCCAAAACAGCGCTGAGCCACGAATAAAGCACGTAGCAAGTTCAGTTATGTTCGGATAAATGGTCGACGGAGTTTTAACTTCTGTCCACTTCATGAGGTAAACAATGTAATGAAGAAAACAATAATAAAGGACCTCATTCTGTTTACTGCCACATTTTCTCTAAGAACAGTAGGACATACAAGTATATAACAAATTGCTTTAACTATCAAGCTTCATAGATATAGATGCAATAAAAATGGACACAGGGCACACAAGTCATATTAAACAAGCGAGTCATCGCGTTCAAACTAGTTCACGAAAGAAAGTAAAATTACTAGTGTTGAAGTTAAAATAATACAGTACATACTAGAAGTCACTCCTCAGGGATTTTTTCTGAAAGGATGGCGTTCGTTTGGCATCAAATCATGCATTTTCGAGTACAACAGCAACTGAGAAGGGTCACTACCACCGCCACCACTGTTCTGGGATGCCCGCGAACTCTCCTGGAGTTTCATCTTCTCAAAAAGATACTGCTTTTCAGCCTCGGCTTCACTCAACCGTTGCTTTAAGTAACTGTTGGCATATTCTTCCTCTGATTTATCTGACTTGGCAAGAGCGATCCTCTGAAGCCTGTCAGCCTCTCGTTTTGCCTCATTGGCCTTGAGTTGGAACATATCAGCCTCTGCATGTTTGAGCCGCACAATTTTCTCCAGCTCTTCAATTTGACTCTTCTTTTTTTCCTCTCAAGCTTTAGCTCTTGAACTTCCCTGGCCTTGTCCTGGAGTTCCCTGTCACAAGCCTCAACAGCCATTCGGGATTTCTTATACATTCTCATCTTCTCATCAGCCACCATTTCCATCTTCCTTATGGCCTCCTGCACCACTTCAGCGATTTGATTACAAGCCTCCTGTGGTGCTATTAGCCGTCCACTTTCCCCGTTTTCCAGGCTCTTTGGAGAGTCTCCCTCAAGCTCTTCATAAAAAAATAAAAAATAAAAAAGAAACTTCAAATCAGGACGATATAGATTAAAAGATAAAATAAAAGTACGACAGCAAAGTATGCAGATACTGCAACATAAACTAAAAATCCACAAAAATTCGTCCAATTGTTGGAGTGGAATACTATTCCACAAGACTTGACAGTACCACAATACATCTTTTCCCTAAGAAGCATACCGAATTTGACACCACGCGGAAAATAAAATAAAATAAAATGCTTCAAACAATTATGTACCTTGGAAAAACATCAATATTGCTCTGCAGGCTGCTGTTGACTCTGCAAGTCCACTTTTTATTTTTTCCTTGAGATCCTCACACTTCCAAAAGAGTTTTTGCCCTCGGGTGTCTTGCTCCCATGAAAAATCCTACTAACAAAATCAAGCTCCCTTGTCAGAGCCTCCCGATCCCAGGCAGGAGCGCAGTGTTGAAAAACATCTTTGACCCAGCCCAATAGCTCAGATGTTCGACTGCAAGCTCGACACCTGAAAAGCATTTCAGATAGCCCTGCTCCACTCTTACCGGAGGCTCCCATGCTTATTAGTCCATCACGAATAGCACAGTCAGTGTGAGTCCAATGTGAACACAAATCACAACCAACCCAACGGCAAGTGTTCACTTCAAAATCGAACTTGTTACATATTACACACATGCAAAGATTACAGAAACCATTTCTTTTCGTACATATCTCACATGTACAATCATCAGCAGGAATCTGGTTTTGGCATGCTATATTTCTGCATCTCTTGTACATGAAAACTTCAATTAAGGAAGTTTGAGAGAGACTGATATTTGGATGCAAGAATGCCAGAATCCCAGTATTTATTGCAACAAGGATTTCAAGCTGCACTCTGTGTGCTCTGATCAATGTCTTAGCTGTTAAGTCTGCTCTACTCTGAACAAGTTTCTGCAAAACAAAAAATTCTTCTCTCTGCTGCGAACCACCATTTCCATCGAGGATGACTCGGAGGTTGTTCTTCAATTCTTCGTGAAACTCATCAGGTAGGTGATGCATCTTTTCAGTGATTATATCAACTCGCTCTCTTGCTATATCTCGAAGAGATATCTTATCAGCACTGGAAACACGGCGAATAACAGATTGTTCAGGGCAATCATTTTCTGCTTTCCCATTTTCCATCTTCTTTGCCATTATGGCATCAGCAGTAGGCCAGGTTTCTCGAGAACTGGCACTCTCGGTAGGGGACTCACGTCTGTGATCAGAATTTGATCTGGGTTCTTCTGGGGAAAGCCGAGGATCTGAAGATACAAGGGACAGTGAGGTTTGTAGTCCCCCTGCTCGTGGTTGCTGACGTGGAGGAAGCATTCTTGATGAAGGCTGTTGGTGTATATTGGAACCAGATGATGTACCCATCCACCAGTTCCCCCTTATCTGCGACTGTGGCAAAAGAAGTACCACCATCACCATCACCATCACCACAGTATTCAGTACCATAAAACTTAAAATCTTTTGAAAAATATCATGACAAACACATCTTCTGATATCTGACGAGAGAAATGTGCAGGAGCAAAAAAGATATCCTCCATGACAACCAAATAGAGAGAGGTTCAATTTCTTTAAAAGTAACTTGTCACAAGAAGGTTTCTTGTTGTTGCGAAGATGCAACACGCATTCAGCACCACCAAAAGAAAAACACATGTGCATGCACACATAAACAATTACAAATATCTGTAAGAACGCATTTTCAACTACATGAAACTCGATTAGCTTATTGTGATTAGGCAAGCTGCTGCGATAAGCATATCATCTAGTTTCTACGGCATCGATTAAGTAAAGTTATTAATAATATAAACTTCTCACGAGACATTATAATTACTATTCCTATTCCGATTCAGCTAGTATCGAAGCAAAGTGATTCCGAAGAATTATTCATCACAAAAGAACTAGTTTTTACTGAAATTGAACAAAGTAACACAGCGAATTTAAACTTGCTTCTGCCCCTAACATTATCAATCTTAAGCTAATTTCAACTTTCAAGCAGGGCTATAGTAAAAAAAAAAAAAAAAAAAAAAAAAAGTCTCCAATTCCCAAATTTTCGAAATGAAACAACTTTCAAGCCACAAGAACATTTCACAAACACACAACAAAAAAGGCAGACCTTTACCAATTCCCACACAACATAAATCCCCAAATTTATTTACTTTTCACAGAAAAAACCTTCTTTTCCATTGAATCTGCTTCCGCTGGTGATTAATTTAATACAAATCAACGACTCACACAGCACAGAGAGAGAATTACAGAAACAAAGAGTAAAATTAAAAGGCTAAGCAGTAAATTCAAAGGGAACCGATCCCAATTCGAGTACTTGCCTCGGTCCAGTGCTGGGGGTTTTGCTAAATTACTAGATCAATAGCAGCGAAATGAATGCAACTACAACAATTTTCTTTCATTTTCTACCGTATTTTCCCGGCGACCAAACAGACGAAATAGGGGGGGAGAGGGGGGGAGAGAGAGAGAGAGAGCTGACCAGACGAAGCCGGAGAGAAGATTCAGCTGCCCAGTAGAGACGACAAAGACCAGCGACGCGGAGAGACAGATTTGGGGAAGTTATTTATTCTTCTCCTGTAAGGCGTTGTTTTCCGATTTTACCCTTTGGGACGCGCAATGGAGCTTTTTCACCCGGACAGCGGGGTCAAGACTTTCAACGACATGTATTCTCGAGGTTAAAATGGTCATTTGAAGATTGGGATGCTTGACTTTTGCACATAGCCTATATATATATATATATGGAATAAAATATAAAATTTAGGTGAAGATAAATAAATGTAACGTGGTCTAGAGGCATTTCCCTTCTCCGTATCTTAGTCAATCAAATTACAAATTAATTAGTGCTAATTAGTAAGTTAATATGACAATAACTATTATGTCTCTTTTTTTTTTCGAAAAAAAACTATTATGCCTCTCTAAATGTATCTATACTGAAAATATCATTACCTATGAACAATGTTTAATCCATTTATTTAGTTGAATTTTCAAAAATAGTCTTTCAATAATATCTTAGGCTCGTTTGAATTGTGCTGGAATTAAAAGTTTTTTAAAGAATAAAAGCACTTTTATTTTACCCTTTGGGTAAATAATATTATTTGTTAAAAAAAATACTTTTATTTCAAAAATATTTGTTTGGCAAAATTTTTAAAAGTGCTTTGAGTAAAAAGCCAAAACACTTAATATTTTTTTTATTTTTAACAAACGATATTATTTACACTAAGGGTAACCTCATAATGAGCTAGCAATAATGTAGTTTAAATTTGCCTTTGGTTAGAATCAAACATAAGACCTCATTTACAAATGGAGAGAAATATCATTAGAACATAGTACTAAGCGGCAAAAAACTCTTAGTATTAAAAGCACACATTTGGTTGCTCGGCAAACAATTGCCTATTTGTAAAAGCGTTTCGTAGAATAACGCTTTCAAATTAACCCTTTAAGTTGTAAACACCCGATTGACTACGTTTACAAAATGGGGTGTGTTATCCACATCCCTTTTTATTTCTCTCACTCCTTGTTAATTTCTGTCATTTAGTCTTCTTCAATTCATCTGATCCGACGCCCGAAAATTAAAAGTGTGAGAGATAAGTAAAAAAGGATATGTGGATATCACATCCCTTACAAAATAATGAACAAAGCACAAACTAAACAAGTAATTAGTCAAAATAATCACAAAATTATTAGTAATCCCATAATTAATAACACCCATCTCCATATATCAACACTGCCACCGAAATCTACAACTGAGATTTTATAAGAACAAGTAAAACAGGAAAATTGTTTTATGCTCCATTATTTCTTGGTAACAGCCCCATCAAATATTATATCCTAACAATTATGTCCACACATTTTATGAACTACACCTCTAAGATCCTACCCCCACTGAATATTGTGCATGAGAAAAGGAAACTTGCTTTGTGCTCCTCATTTCTGGCTGCCAGCTTCAACGGGCTCAACCACCTCGG